TAAAAATAAAATCTATCACGAGGAGGATGTGGGATTTTGCACCATTGGACTAGAAATCATTACAGTTATGGCACAAGTTTGAATGAAATTGATTTAGTTACAACAGTTGAATCTGTTTTCAAGAATGGTGTGTTAAGGATTTACAATTAAACATCTGAGTTCAGGGTTGACTCACACTGATCTGTAGCTGGGTTTAGCTAAACTGTTATATTTTCTGTACATATCACTGTTATTTGTATATAAAGAGCAAAGTCGTGCAATTTCATTATACAATGTAAACTGACAATAAAACGGATTCTGATTCTAATTGTAAAAATAAAAAAATAAAAATGTAATGTGTTGAGTTGTGGACCAAAAGTGTTCTGCTTGACCAGGAGAGGCCAATGCATCTGTCCCACAAACAGTTTTCATTGTTAGCACACTCCAGCCCGCTGCTATAGAACACAATGTGCTGTCAGTACTTTTTTTCTGGATTAACCAACACACAGATTTTAATCTAAATGAACTAATGTCATGACCGAAGTTACGCCATGCTAATTCAGATGTCTTAATGTCAATGCTCTGACAAAATGAACATGAAGTAACAGAAGCTTTACAGGAACCAGCACATTGTGTGCATCCCCTCAAGTTCATCTGAAAGAAAAACATCTAACAGACACGTATTCTGTTTGTTTGTTTCCATTGTCTTCCCAGCCAGCTGAATTAGTTTGAAAGGCACAAAATTCACATGACATTTTCTTTGAGATTTATTTTTTTTGTTTTTTTGTCTAAGATCACCAAAAAAAATTAAAGCTGCACCAAAATAAGCCATAATAAAATATCCCTCACCGTCCCTACAGGGTTGTTTTAGCCTCTCTCAGCTCATTGTTTTGGTTTTTAGTTCCTGACACTTTACCATTTTGGTTTTGCCTCATTTGACAAAAATAGAAACTAACTGGTGAACACAGTGGAAGGTTTTAGCAGCAGACCAAAACAGAGACAAAGGGATTTGCTTCTTGAGGTTAAATGCCACTATTAGACATTTTTGGGAACACCAGCTGATTCTAACTTGAACTTTTGGTTCAGAAGGTCATCTGAGTCAAAATTACAAACGATGATGAAGCTGCAAGTTTAATAGCAATGGGTGAAGGGTGAACCAAAACCGGTGGCCTGTGTAGCGGATTGTAGACGGTATCCTGTGCTCTGAGGTGAAATCAGGGTTCACTGTGGTTCTGTACAACAAGACAGGAAGGAAGCTACATACAGCATTTCTTTTCAGTCTCCCAATACAAGAGAAAACAAACATCTCCAGTGTAATACATCCTGGGTTCCTTGGTAATGACGCTTCAGGACACATTGACTGTAAAGTACCTTGTTGACACCGAAAGGCATTATTTTCCAAGAAACAAGATTACAATCAGAACATTGATTTGTGCCCTAGCAGCATTCATTGGTTTATTGTGATGAAAATGTGAACAGCACTGATGTAAAAATGAAACCCATGGATTCTTTATAACTGCATTTAGAATAATACTCACATATGTGAATCAATGCTAGTAAAGCTATGCCAAGGTTGTGATCACTGGTTGTCTTTTCTTTTACTTTAAAAGTCTGTAGAGTTACACATTTTGAAGTTATTGTTTTTAGCTACGCAGGCAGCTTCAACTGTATAGAATGCAGCAGAAATGAGTACACCCATAGATATATGTACTAAAGGCCTTTATTGTACATATCTATGAGTGCATGATCCTTTAACCGTGTTCATGCAGGAGGCTGACTGGAAATTGAAGGTGCACTCAATTTTCACTTATGTTTTCTAATTTGTGTGTCGTGGATCACAGGTGCATTCCCCGTTGTTGCACTGAGTTTCTGCTTTGGGGTCTGTAATTTTAATATAGTCTTTCTAGGAGAAAACACTCGACTGACTAACTTAGAAATAATGCAATTCCTGTAAGTTGACACAATGTTTAATCACTTCACTTGCAGCTGAACAGGGCTGTACTCACTGCTGTTGCATGTACTCTGTTTCGTATATGATTGCATGCTTAATATTAACGTTGTTACTGTGGGGAATGCAGCTGACGATAGCTTTTAGCTCACAGCCTCACACATTCCCTTCTTTTTCTGAAATGTGGCGTGCAAATTTACAGCTTTGTTGTTTTGTTTAAGAGAGTAATTTGTCCTAATATAGTTTGTTCAATGCAGGTCATCTCATTATCTTCCAGCAGTCCTTAATGTTTAAAAAGTCTGTTCTTCAGTCTGTGGGTTTGGGATTTGTGTCATGTCAGCAAGCACCTGCTCTGCTTATGAGCCACAGAGCAAGACCCTGAATATTCCCAAGAACCGTATTCTGACTCAAAAGATTTCAGGTAATATTCAGTTTCAGATGTGTCAGAAGTGTACGTCATACCCGCTAACCAAAATTCACTGCCTTGCCCAGTGTTTTTCAAAGATTTTATCTATTTCTCATTAACGCCATTACAAAGGCATGAGGCAGATTGTCATCAGTTTCTGATTACAAACACCAGGGACATTTGATCCAAATAAGAATGTGAGTTGACAAGTTTCATGAAAGTAGTGTTATGACGCTACATTCAGTTGAAGGAACCAAAGTTGTGAAGCAAAGATTTGCAAAAGATCATAATGAAGAAATATTCATCTTCGAAACTACAAGAGTATTAAACCTGGACATTAAACACCTTTAGCGGTTTAGGATTAACTTTGATATTTGGTTTGGTATAATCCACAATGTATGATTCATATATGACGGTTCTGTATGGTTTTCCAAAGTTATGAATTGAAAATAAAAAATGATAAAAGACTGGACGTGTTTGTGTTAAATATCATAACCACTTAAATTCTATTGCTTAACAGTAGCGACTGCAGTCACTACATTTCCTTTATTGTGTAACGGATGACTTCTAAATTCAACCATATCATGTGCTAAAACCTCATTAAGATACTTGGTTTCTAAAAATATTTTCCTCATTGCTGTCCGATTATCCCTTCGTCTGTATATTGTTTCAAAGTGAACTCTGTTCCCCAAAATGTTGACTGTCAGGGTGTTGTCATGGGTGTTTAGGATTCACTGAGCCACTTTGGTTATTCTGAACCAATTGTTTAGCAAAGAGGGTTATTTATTATTATTCATTTATATTTTGGAAATTTTCCAGAAGAATTATTTAGTTAGATTAAGCACAAGGTGGTTTTCCGCTGAAGGAACTTGAGGTGTGCACATTTACAAGAATGACCTTGTAACCGGACATTTCAGTCTTTCTCTTTCCATTGTGGTGTAGGATCCGACGGCTTCAACCACGACGTTAACACCAAGTGCGCCAAAATAACTACAACTAGCAGTAAGTGGATCTAACTCCAGTTCTGTGAGCACATAGGACAAAGAGCACTGAGCTTTGTTAGCCTATGTGGGAAAATGTATGTTGCTGATGATGAAATTTGAGCAGAGAGAACTGCTGCTTGATGAAAACAGCCGTTTTCCACTGCAGGAACCTGTGGGCTGTGTTAGTATGACAAACCCTTGTGCTCTGACCACAGGAACCACTCCTCGAGAACCTCATACAGGAAGGTTTTTAGGGGGAAAAAGTAAGTCCTCTGAAGGAGGTACTTCTAAATGCTCCTGAAAAACTGCTATGCAAGGCTGGATGCTGATTAGTTAAAGTTGGAGAATACAGCAAGCACTATTTTTTTTTATCTTCCTAACTTAACCATCGCAGTCTAACACTGTAAAATTTAGCATATGGGCTAAAATGAAAAACCTTTATGTCTTATGTGCTCATAGAAAACAGCTTACTGTGGATAAAATGACTGATACCACTCTCATATTCAGTAGATGTGGTAAAGATAGAGCCAGGAATTAGATTAGCCTTCACACAGAATGGAAATAGGAGAAACATGAGCCATACCTGCATCAAGTCTTTAAGCTAAGCTAAGCTAAGCTAAGCTAAGCTAGCTTCTTATTTGACTGACAGATGAGAGTGGTATCAGTCCAGTCTTGTATATCAATTAAGTGTTCTTCAACAAACAGGGGCAAACATTAAAGGTGAATGTGAAAGAATTGTGTAGTAGCTTTATATTGACAAACTATTTCTTGACTGGGAACAGTACTTAGATTATCCCTGTTTACAGCCTGCATGCTAAGCTCGGCTAGCTGGCTGCTTGCTGTAATCTAATAGTTTTATATACGTTACAGATATTTAAGTGGTAAAAGCCATCACATATCAACTATTGGTAAGGTAGCAAATGAAAAAACTTCTTGTCTCTTTCAAAAATGTTTCATTAAAACGGTCTCTAAATTGGTTGCTTTGCTTTCATTATTTCTGATGATGTAACATGAGGCCATCATATACGAGCATAACGCTAAAAGCAGCATTTTACATTTGTGCCTGGACGTATGAAGGCCTCAGCAATGCCACAAAAGAGGGGTCTGAGTTGCAGACTTTCATTTCAGGAGTACAGGTGTTGACTAAGAGGGAAGTGAAAACGCTTTTGCCATTACAATAATCATGATAACGAATGAGGACAAGCACAGTGTCACATAAACTGAAAGTGCAAACTCATATAGCTCAATCTCCCCATCATGTTGTTCCTGACATGCTTTAGTTGGAAAGATATACTCACTGTCAGACTGTCAGCAGCTCATTATCTCCACCAGGAAAGTACTGTTTAAAACACCTAAATGTCTTTTTAGACACACATCACATCACCCTCTGGATTGTTACACTCTTATTCTTATGTGACGGATTTTGGTAAAAGTTCAGTTAGTAATCAGACAACTGTCAACAGTGACATTTTGATATCATAAATTAAGACAATAATATTTATTGATGAGCATTTAGTGTTGCGTGGTGTTGGTAATTTGTGTGATAACGCATGCTGAGGTGTCCCAGTAGTGATATTCAACCACCTAATAGTGCATTAAGTGCTTATGTTAATGTATGACAGCAACTGCAATTTTTTAAGTGTTTGTAAAAATATAAATAAATCATAATGAGTGACAAACGATGTAGAAACAACAGACTGTTTATTAAGAGCTGATCTTGTAGAAAAAAAAGGAGAAAAAAAATAGCAAATCTTACAAAGTAGTCATCAAAATATATACTTTCATTCAAGGGAAAGAAAAAAAAAAGCTTCTGGAAGGCATAAAATTAAGAAAACATATTAGGCTGAGTGAGGCCAGAAGTGACAAAGTCATCTGACAGAAGCCAGTGTTTGTCCATCATCAGCCATGTGTCATCAGTCCTTGAGCAAGAAGCTTTTAGTAACCATCCCTAAGAGCATCAGCTGAATGAATAAAACAATAAAACTGGTCTGTAAATCTGTATCTGATGCCTTTATCTACATATAAAACATCTGCTAGAAATGCTCTGAGAACTCTGGATAACACATGTGATCACTGGTATGACATAGTCATTACAAAGAAGAAACACCACTGAATGTGCGTCCTCCCACTTCCTCAATGGAAATTTCAGTACCTTGCCAGTTCTTGAGTGTTTCAGCATGGTTTCTGCTGTCACTCTCAACTATGGCTAACATGTATGTACAGAGTGCACTTAACAGCAAATGCTCTGATAAAAAAAATCAAACTGACATGTTTTACAAAGAAATAAAAAGTAAACCTGTAAAAGCAATTTCTTCTGCTATAGAAAATAATCCATTAACACCTTGTTTTTCTTTAGATCAAACAACCCCTCTACACATTTTTTTTTACACAGTATGCTGACAGTGATTCCAATATCACCTGACAAAGACAAAGAAAGAAAGTAGTACATTCACTTCTGCAAAGGCATCACTTTGGCTTGGACGCTATTAACCTGTGGTTTGGTAAGGTAACAACCTGAAGCATAATTCAGACATACAGGTCTTAATATTGCTAAAACCAGCTGGATCCACGTGAGCTCAGTTTTACTGATCAGTCTAAAGAGCACCAGCAGCTGGAAGATAACCTACGAAGTGCCATAAGGATGTAGGAAGCATTTCTGGTGAGGTCTTTGCTAAACTGGGAACTAGTCAGAAATCAATTCTACTGCCTCACACCAAAGCCTTTATCTGGCTAAGGAGCCAGCTGGCTGCAAATAATTTTGGTCTGATGCCATTTCTGGAATAACTGAAGCAAACACCTGCTAAACCTTATTGGACTAGTGCAAGTGATGCAAAATTCCTGGTTGTTCAAGGCTAAACAAGATCAGTGTTCACCTTGAAACTGCTTGTTTCTTGATACCAAAAATGTCCCTCCTTTTACTCGCTGTGACGAGTTGCTTTGAGCCAGTCAGTCACACTTGCAAAGTGACCTTCCGGGGCCATGCTGTTGTTTCCATAATGATTGTGCAGATTTGTAAGCGGCTGAGTGATGCCACTACCGTCTTGCCTCATTGGATCCATGTTAGCACCATTGCTCATAGGACGAGGAAGCAGGTTGGTGTAAGTATTTCCCTGGCTTTCCCTTGGGGACTGCATGACAGAAGCGTGGCTCTCTTGTCCCACTGTGACCTGGGGCTCCTGCTTCAGCTGGCAGCTGGTCTGAGAGCCCCCTACAAGGCCTTTCAGAAAATCATCTCCCTCCATTCCCTCTAGGAAGGGAAATGAGCTGAGTCCCTGTGACGCCCCTCCACCTCCAAGTGCTGATCCATTAAAGGTGCTCTGGCCTGCATTGAGGGTACTATAACCAGCCCACATATTCTGGAGACCTTGGTTCTGGTTGCCCAGATGGTTCTGGGCCTGAGTCTCAGGTGCAAGCTCCTCCCTTTGATGTTGATGGTGAAAAGGAGGTTGGGTCTCCGACTGGTTCATTCCGTGGCCCTGAGGAACTGTGTCCAAGCACTGCAAATCCCGTATGGAGAGCTGAGGGAGGGTGTTACTCTCGCAGCTGCCTTGCACCACTCTTTGGGGGTAACCAGATCCCCGGTTTGGCTGCTGTAGCCGGCTGTTGTTAGGGCGTGGCAGAGCAGATGGGTTTATGGTGACTGTGTCCACTGAGAGTGCTGGGTTGGGATTTACCCACGAACGGAGATTAGGAGCTGGTGATGCCATCATTACATTCTGCGGACCTGGTTGGTAGGGCTGGTTGAAGACAGGTTGCTGCTGCATCATAGGATTGTTCTGCCTCAGGTACATGTTGGTCAGGTCTGGAAAACATAGAGGTACTTAGTGTGATTGCAGGGCAGTAGTATCTTGATTCAGTGGAAATAATTTGTTTTTGCTTAAGATCTAATAATTGCTGTTTGAGCTACCTTTCCGCATGTGACTCATGGTACTCTGTGACACCGCCTTAGGCCTACCCATAGATAGACCGCTAAAAGGAGCACCTAAAGGGGGGCAAGAAACCTTAGTTACAATGCATGCATGTATACTTGCATGGACATGTGGAATCATATCAGATGGGCTGTGCCGTAGATTCAGTATCACATGTCTTACCTGATAATCCTGACATCTTTATCAAATGCTCTCTTCTGCGCTTTTTCTCATTGTAGCCGTAAGGATCTAAAACAAACACAGAATGTTCACATATAAACACCTGGATCTTACTGAGAACTGGGCCCCATTTCCTGAACACGACCATCAGATGCAGAAGACCAGATAAGAGTTTGGGTTTGCCAGTAACACAACGAAGGGGATCACTGCTCACCTTTGTCGTCGGGAAGATATCTGAAATCCATTGGTTCGCTGACTTCTTGATCAGAGGGTCGCCGCAACTGCATGTGCACAGTGACTGATTCTGTTATGGAGGTGTTGTAGTAGGACGGAGTCTTGAACACGATGGCCACTTGGCGATGAACGTCAGCCTGAGAAAAGGAGCCTTTGGCCTCCCAGCCGTCGGTGGAGAAGAAGCGCACCTCAATGTCATCTGGAGGAAAGAAGGGTGATGGGTTGACAGGAGCAGAAAACTAAATCAGCATGCAGAGAGATGGACTCCATGGTAATGAAAAGTAAAATGGACTGAATGAAGGTGAATAGAGAGAAAACAGATGCAAAGTAGATGAAAACAACATATAGTCACATGTATGACAAATAGTAGGCCGAAGATCTACAGAACAAAACACGAACAATATGTACCTTTTTGCACTTTGTCACAAAGTAAGAAGATCTCATCCCCTCCTTTAACACTTCCGCTGTTCCTGTTGACCCGGCAGATCCTCAGCTCTGCTGTGTTCGGGGCCCCTGATGATATAGAAGAAAGCTATAAACACGCAACTCAACAAATCTAACAAATTTCACTGTAGTGCAAGAGTAATAACGCCAGAATCGGCTTTTTTCTTGATTTTATTGTTTACATAGTGTATGGAAAAAAAATGTTTGAGTGACTCAGTGTTGCTGTTTCAGTATGTGCCTCAGCTTTGAAAAAAGAAAAAAACACACACACACACATTCAGTTTACAGTTGAAGCCTCACATGTCACATGCCTGCTCTCAGAAGAGGAAGTGCTCCATGGTAACGGTGTTGTTAGAGGGTTGGTGTGTATAAAGAACTTCCCCTTTGTGCTTGTGTGTTTGTGTGTGAAGATCTGTACTTGACTGAGTGCAACACTTGAAACAGTGTTGAGAGAATACCTTCTGAACACACGTACAGAGGTCTTGCAACTCTTCCATTCACAGATGCAGCTGTTACATACTGTATGTACTGTATGTACAAACACAGCTACTTGTGAAACTTTTCCATTTTTACACAGTTTTATTATAATTGTTTACTCTCCTGTGATATCACCTTGAGATCTTGAAATCCACCATCACCTTAAACCTAAGGTGGACGCACCTGACTGATCCAAGCAGCCTGTATTCCCATAAGTGCAACTATAATGGCAGTTTCTTCTTGTTCTCTTAACTTGTAATTGCCTAAAATGAGGTCAGTGACGGAGTTTGGCCACTCACTGTTGTCGTAGATGGGATTGGTGACAATGGGGTTGAGTGGTCGGGTGTAGTGGCCATTCTCGTCCTGCAGGAAAACCTGGATGCACAGGCGAACCACGTTCAAGTCGTACTCCTCTGTCTGCAGCAGCTGGTCGCGTGGCACTGAAGTTACACATAGACACACACACACAGACACACACAGAGTCAGTGTCATGGCAAGATGAGAGCAAACACTGACTCACAAAAGGCATTATTATTGCCATGAAGCAAACAATCAACAACATAAACAAAGGATCCCTGACACCACGCAGATGAATGTGTGATAATCTCTTGAGGAGATGTTGTGTCTTTAAAGGGCCAGTTCAAGTGTTTTTGGAAAATATACTCATTAATAGTATTGCTGTTGCATAATTATTATGATTGATCCATTATTGTGTTTATAGTAGCTAACAGCTTGTGTTTGAGGTGGAGATCATTTTAACTACGCAACAACTTAAACTAAATGACGATTTAAATTGTCACCAGACTGTAATGAAGTAGATGTATGAAGTAAAGTAAAAGTGTTGCAACGCTGTACTTTGTACAGTAAATGTACTTCATTAGATTGTCTGTCTGAGTTTTCTAAAACTGCACAAAATAAATGGAGATTATTGGAATTTGTGGCACTTTATGCTTGTCTCTCCAGAAGCAGTGTTCATGCCTCACTTGATAATCTGCAGAATTAGCCAGAAAGAATCTGCTTTGGACCTACTTTCCACTGGCAAAATAGTCTCTAGGACGACTGTTAAAGGCAGAGTGTGTGGATTATCTCATGTAACTACAACTATTGCTTATTGACAACACAGTTTTTCTTTTAAAAAAAAATCAAATGTCAGTTATAAGTCCTTTATAAACAAAGTGTCAATGTATATTTGAAACCGTCAGCATATCTAAATATTTGCATAACTTGGCAACAAATTGAAGAGGTCTTATTGTAATTTGGGGTGAACTAACCCTTTAGAAATGGCTATTTTGAAATGAGACCGGGTTATTAGGATGTGCATCCTCCACTAAATACCTATTACAGCAAAACACAAGCATGCTGTAAGTGTATGTTCATATAATCCTAACATTATATATCCCAAATAGATAGATAGATAGATAGATAGATAGATAGATAGATAGATAGATAGATAGATAGATAGATAGATAGANAGACAGATAGATGGATATTCTTGTGCTTTATGTCACATCTGTAGGTTGTCCCAAAACCTCACCTTTACATCAACATAAACACGTCACAGATAAGGTTTTTCTGGCATCCTCAGCCTACATTCTCATTTGCACACACACACACACTCACGCATACACATGAGCATCACACGTCCCTTCAGTGGCAACACGCAAACATACACGCCTCACAGCATAGTTCTGACTGAGAGACGCCCACACCCCGACAGACACACACCAGGCTTTCACATCTGCCTACTTTCTCTTCCTCCGTCTCTCTATTGCTATCTTCGCGCTCAAGTCGAGGCCATCCCCGCCTACAATTTGTCGCCACGGTGACGCTCTGCGACGTCACCTCAGAGTGGAAAGTCGTGTGCGTCCGTGTTAATGTGAGTGTTGCATGACACTAAAGCTAGAGATGAGACTCCCTGCACGAGTGACCACGGTGGCTCCTGACGTGTATGAAAGTGGTGGGACACCAGAAAACGTTTAACGTTTATTCACCTCATTTAAATGTTTTTTTAAGAAATTAAGCATCATCATTGAAATACCAGAAACATTTCGTCTGCTGTTTCAAAAGTATACCACGGCCATAATATGTGGCTATTCTGCACATAAACACCAACTAAAAAACGAAACCACTGCAGTGTAGTTACACTTGAGTTGTAGGGAAAGTCCTCGTCTTTACTGGACATGTTCAGCGCAAACAGCCAGCCAGATAGTTCTCCTGCTCTGTCTCTGTCTCTGCATGTGCTGCTGGCACCAGCCAATACTCTTCTCAAGGCTCAAGCTCTGTTTGGATTTTGCTTAGTCAGAAGTCATCAAATTTGCGCCGAGAGTCTGACTGGAGTCTACAGATGTAGAATTAACAAGAAGAGAAAAGGAGAAAAACAACTGCTAACATGTCTCTCCGTGCATTTGAGCCCTGTTAGTGAGAACTGATATAATACATGTGACGAATGTTGGCTGGCGTCGACATGAGGCTTCACGCTTCGCTCAAAAACTGTAATATTAGATATCAGATTCAGCCAAAATGTGTCTGTCTCGCTCTTTTATTACAGTGTTCTATATTAGATGGCATCCAGACAGTCTGATAGGCTGTATGTCAGTGTAGATAATGAAATGTTTTTTTTTTTAAGGCTTTCTTCAAGAGATGTGGTTGATACCATTCTCTAAAAGATAAATCTATAAGATTAGATTAAGGTTTCTCAGTAAGACATTTACAGAATATGTAGAAGAGTTTCTAAGAGTGATGCCATTAATAGATTGTGATGTTTACTATATAGCAGTGACGAAAGTAGGATTTCATCAGTCATCAGTTGTGCTCAGATAAGAACAATATATGTCAAATACTTAACTTAAAGGAAGCAAAACTGCACAAAATAGTAGGCCAAATTTAAAGTGCATTGTGCAGGTTGACAAGCATTTGTTGCATAATTTCATTGCAATAAACTAACATCATCTAATACTATCAGGAAGTATAATACAGTGTGTTATCTTAGTACATTTGATCAATAAAGTATTATTGATTAGTATTATTTTTTTTTGATAATTAAGATGTTTACAATATTTTGTTTGTGATGCGTAACTTGTATCTACATTTTATAGTGTCGGCATCGTGAGAAATGTCAATGTAGTTAATAAAATACTCTGCTGCCCAGCTGCTCTACTCATATGACATAACTGTACTACAATGTAGGCACAGTATGGATGCTCACTGAGTAAAGAGGTATTAGTGTCTTAAACAACAACAACAACAACAACAAACAAAGCCTCGCAGCAGCTCTGCTCTACTTCAGCTTCGTATTGGGTCATAAGGTTTGCCTGCTGTAGGTGGCAGAGATACACACAGTGGAGAAACTGAAGGAGGACGGAACCGTCAGAGCAAATATTGATGGAACATCCTGCTGTGTTGGTCTGCATGTGTGTGAGCGAGTGTTGGTGGAGTGTGTTGCTGCTCGGGGCTGGCCGGACAGGTGCAGGAAAGTGGGTTGTAGGTACAAATAGTGGTGAGTGTGTGTGTTTGTGGCGGAAAGAAATTGGGCCCCAGAGTCAGGACGCACACTGAGCTGCATGAAGCTACGAGCTGCCGGTGGAGGGGGGCGTCGCTGGCTGTGTGCAGTGATGGGGGACAGTGAAGGGGGGAGTTAGGGGGAGGGTGTTAGGTGGGGTGCGGGGTAAGCAGTGGTTAGCGTTAGTGTGGGAGCAGAATGTGAGAGTGAGAAAGAAGGGGAGGCAGGTGCCAAGCCTCACCACAGTGAACGTCTCCACTGCGTGACTCACAATTTCACCACGTTTCAGGACATGCGACATTGAGTTTGTGTCTTTTTGAGGCCGAGGCGATCACGACACAGTCATACACTAGAGTTACATCATCTATCTTATAGCTTCATTGTACTACTGTGCATACAGCACAAAACATGCTTTAAGGCACAAACATTACAGAAGGTATTGTAGTTTGGACACAAACATAGTGTGAGCATTCTAGCAACAACCAGTAATAGGTAACTTTGAAGGACAAGTTCTGCATTTTAATCTTCTCCAGTAAGCAAAAACAAACAGGGAAAGGACCAGTGGTGATTATACTAAAAAACAATCTGGCCACAATGACTTGAGTTTCAGAAATAATCTATGTAACATTTACAGGCAGCAGCAGTCTTCCTCATTCCAAAAAACAACGTCTACTGGTGTAATATCCACTGCAAAAGTGCACTGACTTAAAAGTGATAACACGCAATATCTGAATTGAGAAAACATGCGTTGTATCGGAGGATTTCACTGATGATCTGAAATACTTTCAAAGTTGGGGATAAAAACAGAGAAACGCGCTCTCATACATGCTGTGGCAATGAATCTTGATCGATAGAGAAGATAATCTACAGGCTCATATCCACATCAAATAGATTGTCAGCTTGTGAATGAACTCTTAAATGTAATACTTTCAATACTCTAAGAGTTTTGCTGAAGATTTGTGTACACATTTAACTGAGGTGTCATAAAACCATATCTTCACAGATTTTGGAGTCCCAGCTGTCTACGGTATAATAAATCCACAGGTGTCACCTTATATCACTATGAACTGCGTCTTTCAGCGGGCTTCTGTCCCGTGTGAAAGGAGTAAACATTTGCCAGGTGTACTACCACACAACCACAATGTGAAAATGTGAGACAACAGTAATACAGAAACATTAGTACGTCATGCTCACGTATGTGTGAGGTGAGCTGCCGTGATAAACAGTGATCTCATCCCCCTCTGTGAAAAGGTGATTTACAAAATTGAAATGGGGGAAAAACAACAACACATGCTCTGATTAGTGGTCAGTGGTGTGACTTTACAGGTTTAATCACTCCTGAACAACGAGTGCTGGAGAGTCTTAGATCAAGATCAATGAGACTTTCAGCTGGAAACTGACTGTGAAAGTAACAGAGACTGTCCACTCTGTGTTTTGTCAGCTCTTAGAAAACCAACACGCATCACATGAAGTGAGGTGTGTGTGTGTGTGTGTGTGTGTGTGTGTGTGTGTGTGTGTGTGTGTGTGTCTCGGGGTGAGAGAGGGAGGGGGACTGTCTTATCTCCCCTCTGACACAGGAAGCAGCTGAGTTTCACAGCAGAAGTGAACTAAAGAGAGGGGAAGAGTTGAGCCATGAAAGAAATAGACATCCAGCTGTCCACTGTGCACGTCTGTAGCAATAAATACATCTTAACTGAGTTGGCAGTGCTGCCATGGCAACCTGCAACCTGACCAATTACACCAAGAATCATACTGCAGCTGGTACTTTACTAGATACGATGAATTGAGCTACATATGAGTGCTTTATGTCCAAAAGAAGGCTCTTGCTCTGGTTGCTTGTATGAACATAAAATATACATAGGTCTTAAATAGCAGCAGGTACAGTGCTCCGTCTGACATCACTACCAAAGAGACGACAAGTGTTTCAAGTCCTCTGAGACCTAAATTAGCTCCACAAGCTCTAAAACTACTAACCAGGTAAGAGAACAGAGTTGTGGTCGTGCCTGGTGACGCTCACTCAACAGTGCAAGATGCTAAAAACATCGGCAGGGTCAGGGTTTCAATTCACACGAGAGCTGCCTGAGTTACAGTTTCCAGTTTATGTTAAGTCACCTGCATTATCAGCCCGTGCTCGGGCCAAGTCAGGTATCAGGTATGGAGACTTTTGCAACCACAGAAAGCAATAAATCAGAGCAAACTTCAAATATGTACAGTTTACAGCGGACTCTCTGGCCAGAACTTTGTTTAAAGAAGTTATTTCAAACTGACCGACATGCAAATTTGCTTGGTGCAATAAAAACAAAAAAAACGATCGTCTTTCATACCAGAAAAAAAACACAAGATCTGAGATCAGCTCAGAAAGTAAAAGCATATATATTTAAATCCAACCTGATCATAAAGCTTCCATTCCCTCCACAGTTTTACAGACCTGTAAAGCACCCTACCCTACTTTTATCATCATCTCGGAGAGCTGGGGAACCCCCTCGGTTCAACCCTCCCCCTTTTAATGAATCCTGCATTCCCAGCTCTCACGTGGCATCCTGCACTGTGCTGAATTGAGCAACTGTGACCAAGAATGGGGAAGTAGCTCAACGCCTGTTTGTACACGAGAACCGCTGTCTGTCTGCTCAGGAGGACCGCAGAATGAAAGCGCGTAGAGGAAATGGCATTACTGTAGATAGAGCGGTGGCAGGAGAGCAGATTTGCGAATAGATGCTGGAAAAAATCTGTTTGACTGCCTGAGAACTGGGTCAACGTGCATTTAAAAAACAGTTCTTGGAAGTTGTTCTCAACCTGTTTTAACAGCAAAAACAACAGGAAAAGCAGTAGTGTTATGTATTTTACCTACATGCACTACTACTTATTGTTCTGTCTGCTGCTAATTAAAGCGCTATCTTGGTGATACTACCAGCTTATCAGAGGTGTAAAGTCAGCATGGTGGTTCAGTCGTGTCTGTTAGCTAACATTAGCCACCACAAGTAGAGCTGCAGCATAAAAACCACTGAACCATGACTGAAGTGAGCGGGAGACTATTTTTGTGTGCTCACGAACATCACTTTAAGTAAGAGTAAAGTTATGTTAGATATCTTCTTTTTTTTGTTTTTTTAATTTAAAGTGTCAAATGATAAGGTTAGCATGGCCCTGGGATAGCAATGTAGTCCACTTAGCGCACCACTTGAGTCCAATGTTGAGGAGCGTTACTTAGTACAGTACAGTAATATGATTACTTTTTTCAGTAAGTACCATAGGAGATTACAATTAGACATGTAGTTATTGTAGTTTCCATTGTTATTTTGAAATTTCTTGTAATATATTGTACAATTTCATTCTACATTGTATAATGACAACAAAATGGATTCGGGTTTTGTCAGTGTCACCAGTTTAATATGCTGGATGGTTGGTTTACTGGTTCTCTGCATTCACTTGAAGAGTTTATTATTGTTTATGCTATATGTTGCTATGTATGCTGGAAATAGCAGTTTAGCTCAAAGCACCGCTAAGCCTCAGTACAGCTTCAAAGCTACTAGCATGCTTGCACTGTAAAAAAAAATACTTCCCAACTTTCTACCCTAGTCTGCTGGTTCCTACTGAAGCTGTACATAATTAAAAGGCTAAATATTTCCTAGCATATGTGGGCACAGTAGCTTTTATTCTAGCAAGGGGAAATGGTACATTTGTTGGGGGCTATTTTCAGCTGCGGATTAATACACTGCAAAGAGGAATGAGACATCAGGTTTTTTTGTTTTTGGGTTGTATTTTTTTTTTTAAAGATGTTCCAAAATTACCTTCTTTATTCATATGCCATAATCTTTGTTTGTGCTATCAATTGTTTTAATTTTTTTTGTCTGTTTACAACAATTACAAGCCATTATGTGCATTTCTGTAATATTGCCCATAAAAATCCAGTAAACTAGTTCACAGTAGTCAGAATCTTACACCAAATGTGCTGAAACAGCTGTGTGATGTGAGCTCTCAGTGAAGAAGATGAAAACAGACGCATACAGAATATGGGAATTCGGATCAGAAGGACTCACCACTGAATGGGTTGATCCCTCTGGTGATCCTCTGAACAATCGCATCTTTCACTTCCCGCCTCCTCACACACTGGATACCCAGATTCTGGAAACTGTGTCAATAATAACACAACAATAACATGAGAAACTGACACTGATGCAACAAGATGATTATAATACAGCGCATGGGGCCACACCTGAGTGAAGAAAGATCTAAAAAAAACAAAAACAAATGTTGTGTGTGAAGGTGGAAGGAGTGATGCAATGATTCCAACTCATCCAGTTCAGCCGGTAAATCACAATAAGACAAACACATTATTCATTTACTCGTCTCTGATCATGTCTGATCCAAGTGTGTTGGACCAATTCACTTTATTTACATGGCTGCTTGATAATCTAAGTTATTCTGAATTTACTACACAAGCCCATGAGGGATTTGCAAATTATACACACCAAAAGACACTGACTCATTCACACTCTCACACACATGCTCCAGTACGCATACATACACAAACTTTGTTTTCTCTCTGTAACACACAGCAAATATGGGTGATGTCATTTGGGGAATTCCCGTATTGCCATCTTCATCACAGACATGGTTTGACAAATATGCTTCGTGAGTGCATGCGTGTGTGTGTGTGTGATTGCTGTATGAGTTTCTTCATCTGTATGAGAGGTCATCGATTTGCACTCAGTGCCTTCCGAAACCGTCAAACGAAACACGACATGCTGTTAATAGAGAGCAAATCAATTATGCTGCGGTGTGTGTGTGCACGCAAAAGAGAGAGTAATTACTTATTTTGATGACAGTGTGCTGATTAAGATCGAGACTGGGGTGATAATTGCTCCTGATGATGACTGACAGTGAAGCGAACGCTGCTGCAGAGTGTTGTTTGGACAGAGGCGACTGTGGGAGGAGGAGAACTCACGCGATCACTCTGCGGTCTGGACCAAACTCAGCCTCGTAGAATCCGTCTTTGCAGTCCTTTCCCACCAGGTCGTGTGGATGCGGTCGGTAAGGTTCGTTCTTCGTCACCAAGTAAACGCGCACTTTCCCCTTGCCGCAGTAATTCAGGATCTGTGGAGAAGGTGCACATGTTGACACAGGTGCATTCCACCTTGTACAGAAAGATGCATGCGGAGGTGACGTGAAGAGAAAACGAGGAAAAAAAATGTTCTATGCACAAATAAACATGTAAATCACTGCGGTGAAGGAGATGCCAGTGTTCTTGACTGACCTGCAGGCTGGGGTACGTCCTGTTGTTGTCGGAGCTCTTCTCGCCGGGGATGCTTCCAGCCGAGCGGCCCTCACACTTGTACCTGAAGCGCATTCCCCTCTGCTTGGGCTGCTCGAAGATCTGAATCGCCGGTTCAGCCACTGGGGAGAGAAGACAAGCAGTTGATACAGATTAAGAGAGGAAATGGTGAATGGATTGGGCAATGGGAGAAGAACCTGAATTGACTTGGCTAACCAAAACTACTTTCGTCAGCTGAGACAAGAAAAGAGTCGTTTTGTAAACTTGGTTACAGGTTCTTGCTGGATCCACGGCCCAAACGTAGGCATACACAGCTAATGACCATTAATTTTGTGATTTGCAGGTCGAGATGTGATGGTTCAAACTGGACAAGAAAGGTCTTTTTCACAGAAGACATTTTGACATGTTGCAGCAGGAAAGACACAGGTGTACATGATAAAATTAATGCTGGCCTGATTCCATTTAGCTACCTCAGTTTCAGAGTCATGGCTTGCTGGGAGCTGTGTTTAAAGGTACTAATGGAAAAAAGAGGTTTATAAACGTCTACAAAACATCATAAAGCTGTCAAAAAGGTTCGTTAGATGTTCCCACAGCCTTTGTTTGAGTTTTGGAATTTTGTCTCTCTAAATGCCTAAAAGTAAGGAACTATTTTATGTAACATAGATTTTTTTAAAAATGTTTTGGTTTTTAAATAATTTTTGCCCAATTACATGTATTCTAGTTTTTTAAACTGCAAATCGTGACACAAATGCTTATGAGGAAGGCAAACCTCAGCCTTTGTGCATTCAAAATAGACCATGAAATTAGTTTGTCTGAAGTCTTTGGCCCTTTTGCATGAAACAAAAGTGGCCCCACATGATCCCTGTGTAAGAGAGGAACTAAAACTGATACGGGAAGCGTTTCTGTTTTTGGTGTGCAGTATTTTTATTGCGTTAACAACACACAAAATGTAATCTTCTCGGACACGACAACCGAGCAACAAGCACACAAAGTGCAGCAGATGTTATTTATGTAGGTCAGTACGAAACCAGTCAAGTTACATTTCTGGCATAATTAAGAAATGTACGTTTGCCAAAAAAGAAAAAACATTAAAAAAAATGGCTCGGCCATGTTGTGCCTTCCTCATTTTACAGAGGACGCTCCAAACACACAAATGAAAGATGATGTAGCTCAAACACGACTATTACACAATGCCTAAAAAAACACGAACTATAAAGATAAGGATTAGAAGAAACTCTGCTTCTCTCAGACGCTCACAACAAAGATCAGAAGAAGCAGTGCTTAGCAATCAAACAAAATGAGGAAGTGCAATGACACTGCATGTATTGAGTGATTTTTTTTTTCTTTCTCTTTTTATTTCCACTTTAAATTTTGCACTTGTGTAGACAGGCAGCTAAAGTTTGACAGTAAAGAAGTTGGACTTACTGAGGTGTGGATCCTCCCCGAGCATGGAGGGCATAAGAACTGAAGAGGAAAGTGTGACAGGTAGGAACAAATTAGGCAAATAAACACGCAGATTGAATACAAAAGCCTGTCCTGAAGAGCAGACCGTCACACAATAATACCGCTTCATCCATGCTGAATAACACTGTCTATCATTGCAATAAAGAGGAAGTTCAATGGGTTGTTGAACAGAAATAATAATGGTGCCAAACAGCATTAACGTCAAGATTTAAGTCCCGGTGATGTCATTGTACAATTAGACTTCAGGTATACAGATGTACAATCTCTCTCCACACATATAGACATACTTTTACACAGTCAGCAGTGTTTTTTTTGAACACACAACTCCACCGGTATAGTTAATTATTCTAAGCCTTTCCCCACCTTCTTCTTATTGTTGTTGTAGAGTAAATAAAGGTGTTGTGACTCACCATCCATGATGCACTCTGTCGCGCTCTCTCTCAGTACTGTCACCGCTTATTGTCTCCTGGAGAAGCTCGAGCTGAATGAGTGACAGAGGACAGAAAAGTGTTTTTTGTTGGAGCGGTAGGCTGGCGGGGAATTCCCCTCCGTCACTGAAGCAGCCAATCAGGAGCGCCGTGAGTCAGCGCGCGGACGGCTCAGCGCTGTGGCTCCACGGGGCTCCGCGCGCACTGGACGAGGTGTGTGGTGGTGGTGGGGGGGGGGACGCTGGGGATACCTCACCCCCCGTAGTGTCCAACACATGCCCCCCCCCCCTTCACCCTGCCCCGAAACATGAATGAAGGAGAAGACTTCCTTGTCCAGCCCAGGAGTGTTTGCATTTTAAGCTGCTAATTGCATCATTTTAATAAAGTGTCATCTTCCTACTTAGCCCAGGTTCCACATTAATATCAGATTGTGTGGACAGGCAGATTTACATAGCTATTTATGTCAAAGGTGGGCCTTGGAAAATTCACATCAAAGGAGCTCTTCACACTTATGTCATGAGGCAGATGCATAGGACAGTTTATTCAAAAGTTTTAAACAGACCCCCCCCCCCACACACACACACACACTATCTAACTTTTAAAAAATACATGAATTTTTGTGAAGTTTCAGTGCTAGACCTTCATCAAATAGTCTAGTTGCCATTTGCCCTCTGAGGATCTAACACAGACACATTTCTTTTTTTATGTTTGCATCCATAAAACAGCTCTGAAAGCGACCTCATAGGTTTTTCTAAGAAGTCTGATGATAATATTTTCATTAAACCAGATGACTGGAACTGTCCCAAATGCAAAGGTTTGAGAATATAGGGTTAACTGTGACCATAGACTGTATATAAAGATGGATGAACCCTTTGTGACTTCACCCTCAGGCTTCCTGAACCCGTCCTTAGGTGTTTAGCTCCTGTCCAATCCAAAAATGGGTACAGGTGGCGTATGAGCGGCCACACTCTTGACTATACATAAATGTAAGCCTTAATACAGTTCAAACGGGTGAGTCATGTGTGTTGTTTTGAATGTATTGATTAGGTGTTGGCACATAAACAGTTTTTTGTATCATGTTGTAAACAGGTTGATTTTTGCTGTAGAGCTGGACTCTTTAAAACGGGGGTCTATGGGGATTGACTCACTTTTTGGGCCAGCATCTAGTGGCCACTTGCAGAACTGCAGTTGTTGGAATGACTGCCTTCTGTTTGAGCACCAGATGTTACTGCTTGGCTATGACCAGGCTCATATGAAAAAGGTGAACTAAGTGACTGACCACAGGCTGGACAGAAGAGATGGACTTAGTCTCTGGGTTTGAAAAGTGAAGCAGAAGTCAGATGCTTTCTTTGCAACAGCCAGCAGGGGGAGACTCCCCCGGTTGCAAAAAGAAGTCTGATGAGAAAATAGCCCTTCCTCTTCTTTGATTTGTTACCATAGCAAACATTTTCCAAATGAATTTATGGTCTCAACTGCTAGTCAACTCCTATTCAGTACATCAGGCTTAATTTGTGAATTATGGTCCAGTTTACAGTAAAGCAGATGATAAAGCAATCTGTTTTACAGCAGGGCTACCTTGTAAATCTCTGGAGCGTCCTCGAGTTCTCAGTCAGATCCACCACTCAGTCATCACACATGGTTTCAAAAAGAGCAAAATGCCAAACTTGAGACTTGAAAACAGCAGTCCTCGAACTCACAGGTGACGTCACTGTGGCTCCGTTCATCTTTTATAAACTATCTATGTGCCTGACTTATGTCACTAAACTTCATGTTACAGTGCAGAGCAAAGACAACCTCCCATCCCTGATTATTCAAAAATATTTTCAGGTTTTATTGGGTAAAACTTGAGATACTAAAGACGAAGGAAACCCACAGTGACACCAGTCTTATGGACAGATCATTCAATACTTTCTCATTAAGATGAAAGGTTCATTCTTCTGCTCACAAGGCCTGTTTCATGTTTCTGAAGCTTAATTGTATCGTACAATTTTCTCCTGTTTGACCAGTATTCATGGGATTGTATAAATTTCCATTATTTTAAGCATTTTAAGAACGTCTTGTCCATGTTAGTTTTAAAATGACCTTTTCAACCTTTAAAACATGTCAAAGTGTTTTCATCTAATCATTAAGAAGAATCGATGAAGATACTTTTATTTTTACAGGTGAAATATATTCAAGTGAAATGGATGAGGCTTTCATTTTTCAATTCTGTTGAGTAAGATTTACTTTGCTATTCCAGTCGAGTGACACTTCAAGCCATTCTGACTTTCCAAGAAAAGCACACATGACGTGCAAGTCATTAAGAACTCCTCCCATTACAGCAAGCATTTTATGAGATGTAAATGTGGTGCAACCGGTGATGGCACATAAAACAAAGTACAGGACGCAACAAAAGAAGCACAGGCACGGCATAGTTTTTAGGGGTTTAATGGGTGTACGGATTCAATTAAAGGAAGTGATAAACACATACAAAAATACCCTTTCAATACATTTTAGAAACAAACATCTAAATGACCTGTTTTGTTAAATGCTTTCAAACAGCAAAACATGAGTTGTCTGAAACAGAGTGGTGCAGATTTCATTCAAAAAAGACCTACCTGCTATGAATGCTATTAAAAAAAAAGATCACATGGTACAAATATGCAAATATAAATAAAGTGATAAGAAAACCCCCAATAATGAAGAATATGCATTTTGAAAAAACTGTTCTCTGTACATTTAGTTGGGGAAACTGGTGCTGGAAAAAAAGCCTGCGGCCCAACTCTCTACCTGCTCCGTGAAGAGGGCGCCTTGTTAGCATCGTTTAGCACGTCGCTGTATACATATATCCTCTGTTCTGAAATCAAACGCAGACACCCAGCTTCAAGATGGAGAGTTGGGGCCCAAGGCAAGTAAAAAGTTGTCTCCTGACCCCCCACCACCACCACTTGTGGCCCCAGGAGATGCCTTTTAAGAACCTCCACAGGAGGCGCAGAGGGTTAACACCCAAAACGAAGGGAATTCTGTCTCACTCCAACACATAAACACAACCACCTATGCATGCACGCTCACACACAGTCAACCATATATGCATGCACACACACACAAACCGGCACAACTCTTCAAAAAGCTTCGAACCATTTTTTTTTTCTTCTACAAAGCACCACAAACTTTCCAATGGACGAAAACGGCGCTCACAACTGAAACTTGGTTTTTTATCAGGAACAAGCTTCACAAGCAAACAGACCACGTTGAACTGGTGGGTGTGACTGTGGGGTGTTTGGGGGTTGGGGGGGGTCAAGCAGCATCCCGAACAAATTCCTTTTTTTGTTTTTGTTGTTTAGTCCTCCTGATGGAGTTGAGGTTAATGTTAGGTGTCAGACAATCTGTCACAGGTACATACACAAAACTGATATTTAAACACATCCTTAGAACTGTCTGAACTGTTCAGTGCTCACTATTTTATGGCAACCACACTTATCCGACGGCTTGAACGCACCATGAAAAGTGAGCGGAAAACTCGTCGACCAAGATGAACAGTAGGCGACTAAAGAGCCAATGACAGAAGGACTAAAATTCAGCATTCCGATATGGTTCTTCTGATGTTCTGTACTAATCCTTCCAAGAGCTGAACAATGAAACACTTCCGGAAAATGCACGATGGTTCCCGTTGTCATGTGGATGATTTTCTTGGACTTACCGGCACCTGAGAAGCTCTGATGTCACTGGGCGTCTACAATCACTTTCACATTGCAATCCCAACACTAACCATGAGTCCTCTTTGGCTAGTTGCGCTGGTCCAAAGAGCTGTGGTTGTGATTTCTGTCATTATCCAAGCAAACCCTCAATAAATCCTCCCTGCAACTGTATTCCAAACCTATACAGTGTCTACAAAAAATATCCAGGGCTGGAGACATTTTGTTTTGGACAAGCAGTAGAGAAAAACAAAAAACAAAAAAAAAATTACAATTTTTTAAACTTTTTTTTTCTTTTTAGATAAAACTACAATAGAATGGTCAAAAGACTTAACAGTGATCTTTTGCTTCTTTTTAAGACAAAAAGTTATGTACATTAACATTTACTGTACAGGTTTTTTGTTTGAGAGAAAAGAAAATGAAAAGGACAAATAAACCAAAACTAAACAAAAAATCAGCATACACCAGAAATGTGTGTAGCAAGCGTCGATAAATGTCCTGGGTTTTTTTTTTGTTTGTTTCTTTTTTTTTTTTTTTTTTTAAAACATGTTAAACTGGAAAAAAAGGAAAATGAAAAGAACAGATCATTTTCCATCTGTACTGTGTACGTTTTTAAACACTGAGGGAAGAAGAGGAGTAAAAAAACTGCTGCTTTGTTTCTCGTCATATCTCGGTGACTGCGGGGTTGAACACCCTCTGGCTGCGAGTGAGACAGCATTAACCGAATCCCCTATCCACTGGCAAATCTGTAATCTCTGAAAGATTGGAGGTGAGGCGTCGCACTCCGCCGCTTCACACTTCACACTCACCGACCTGAACACGCTCCCTGTCCCCGTGTGAAGTCATCGTCTCGGTGTTGACCGTAAAGCCCCACCTCTTGTCTGTGTGTGAACCCAGTCTGTCGGTTGTGTGTTCAGGCTATGTGGATTCTGGCCTTCTCTGTTTCTTTCAGCCTCTTGGCCTGTTCCTCCAGAGAGGGGGAGAGGGGTCTCTTGGAGGCTGCTCCGTTCAGCGGGTCGGCTCCTCGGCTCACTAGTGTGGGGATGGAGCTGCCGACGGGGGGTGCCACGTGTTTGGGTGCCACATTTTCTACACAGAGAAAGAAGAGGATAGAACTTTTCATTTTGCCACTTGACATTGACTTAGTGTTGTACCAAACACACATCTTGGGTTCACCATAGTCACATTTTAGTCATTTGAGTTTTTGATGATTTTATCATGCTTTTCTAATTCTGTCGCCATGTTTGTTGGGTACCGTTACCATCGTTACAAGTGTTGATCTTGTTGCATGGTTAGCGGAAAAGGCGTGTTTACTTATGTATAAGCCGACAGATTATTGGCTCATACAGCCAGTTCTGTTCTGCAGACGTGCAATAGACTGAGGCTGGAGGGCTGAGCCGAGATGCATGGGGTTTACATGGCTGCCTCTTCTATACTTTGATGCACAACTTGTAGTGTTTTTCCATTAGTCTAAGTTAGTCTGCTTTAGCGGCGGTGTTTTAAGCGGAGCCAAACCACGATGACATGCATTTCCAATACAGTCTAACAGCAGGAGACAGCTGCACTGCTGGGGTCCTGCTTAGTGGCAGCACCCACCACGCCCAACCCCTGCTCCCCTCAGCTATATCTGCACCAGCTAAACTCCTGCAGCTGTATCAGAGCTGTGCTAAGTTCCTTGCTCTTGCTGCTCTCCACTGACGAACGAAAAGAAATGCAACATGCAAAGTTAGTAGAACTTCATTAGTGGCGGACCGTTTTTTGTATTTTTTTTAATCAACCTCACACATTCTGTCCAATTTGCCCACCAATTTAGTTTTAAATACTGCAAGTAGGTATACTGATAGAAACACAAACAGCCACATCAAAAGGCAGCAGGCAGGCCTGTGGTGTCTGACTCCAACACATCCTCAAGGTCAACATTTTTATCTTGCTAAGCAGTGAGGTGGAAAAACCCTTTACAAGTATGTCAGTGTGCCTCGAATGCTTGTGGTAATCTTGCACTCATTTCTACCAACATCTTCTAAACACACACAAACACCAGAAAACAACAACTGGCTCAAAGTAATAGTAACTTGACATTTACATATTATGGATGTTGATTGTGTAGGGCGTGTTAACGTTGACAGGATATGGTTTGTAGCCGTTTCTTGTCTTATTTTTAGATGTCAGTTCACGAGTATTTAGTGCATCAATCTGTTGGCTAACGTTACTGTGCTTTAAAAAAACAGGTTGTCAAATAGTTTTGCTGCAGCTGTTTAGTTTTTGGTAAAACAGTTGTCAAGATGCAGCTTTTTTTGTTAAATTGCAAGTATATCGAAAAGTATTGTGTTGAAGTTTAGTCTCCTTTCTGTCTTGTTTAAAAGATTGTTAGCATGCATTTTTTTTATCACGTGAAAAGTTCGTTCAAATACTGTTATTAGACTAGTATTTGTCTTGTTACAAGGTCACCAAATATGTAGTTTAGTCTAATGTTTGTCTTATTAAAAAGGGTATGCAACATTTTTGTTATGGTTGTTGTGTCTCCTTTGGTAAAAAATCTGCAATAATTACAGTTTTTTTTATGTTTGTCTTGACAAAATCAACACTAAACACCAAAATGTGAGCGATGAACACTGACGACAGTTAGCGGAGCTGATGGTAAAGAAACAGAGACTCACTTGAGCCAATGACAGGAATGGACATGCCCTTTTCTTCGCTGGCAGGTGGAGCGTCGGTGGTGACGGCGCCCTCAGACACTGGAGGCTTGGGAGGTGTGATGCTACGTACAGTGAAACAAAAGGCAAATGGATACAGCGTTAGTACATCACAAAAAACAGCAACAGGTTGAACTGCTCTAACGGGAGCTGGAAAAAAAAAAAAAACGGACGATACTCACTTGTGGCGGTTGAGTGCCAGTTTAATGGAATTTTTCACGACGCGACAGCTGTTACTGGCTGGCAGAGGTGAGGAGGCGTCTGGCAGCTCCATGCTGGGAAGTCTCTGAGGTAGGAAACAGCAACATTATACATCAGCAGACTTTGTATTTCTAACTGTTTGAACAAAAAAAATGAAAAACAAAAACAGGCCCACCACACAGAGAAAACCAATCGGGTACATACACCGGTTACCTGTGTTCTTGAGGTATCGATGGTTGGAATGGGCTTTGCCTTTGATCCAGACAGAGGAGTCTAATAGTGAACAGAGACAAAATGTGATTTTTCTGGGGGCTGGGTTCATACTTAGAGCTAACAAAAGCAGACAGAGTAACACCTACAGCATTAGGTCCGTCTCCAGATGTGTAGCAGTCAGAGGACACTGGATATGGCTCTTTGAATGTAGAGTCATCGTTGGACACCTCCTGCACCAAAAAAGCAGAATGTCACAGTTTATATTTGACATAATAGTCAAATTTCATCAATATCTATAACTGAGTCCAAAATCCTGTGTCTGAACTGACAGCTCCGTCCTCACCTCCGTGTCTTTGTGCCTCTTGGTCACGTCCTCTTGTGTAGGTGAGTGTGGTCTCTTGGTAGGAGCTCCATTGATGGAGTCGTCCAGGCCGTTGGGCTCCTCTTTGGGGCTGCTGGTGGCGTTGGGCTTCACGTTCCCGCTCAGCGCTGTGCTGACGGAGCTGCTGGCTGGTGGGGAAGGAGGCCTTGTTTTCACTGGAGGCTCTTCAGAGTGAGATGGAGATAGGAAAAAAAATGCAGTTAATTAGATAAGGAAGCTTTATCCACAGCTTTGACATCTACTAAAGAAGGGCCTTGTTTGGGTTTTCTACATTCCCAATATGTACACGAGTTTTGTTCATCAAATTAATCTAGTTCTCTAGATTGGAAGCTTTTAGCTGGTATTTGTTATTAGATCTGCAACTGACGAGTGTACAACGGGACTGACTGCAAGTTAGATAGATAATGAAAAATGACATTTTGTGTTATGAAAGGAAGGAAGATTGATTCACTGTTTACCCTTTATCTCTGATAACTCACTTGAGCCAATGACAGGGATGGACATGCCCTGGTCTTGAGCAGCAGGTGCCACAGCAGGTGCTGCACTGGGTGCCGCAGCAGGTGCCGCACTAGGTGCCGCACTGGGTGCTGCACTGGGTGCTGGGGAGCTCTCCACAAAAAGCTGCTTGGGAGGGCTGACGCTGCAAAACACAGAGCAGAAAGAAAACATTCACTGAGCATCACATGGTGGATTGTCAAGCTGGTTGTCAAGAGCTACCACCAAGAAGAAAATCCACAAAGAGGAACTGAACATGAGAGGTTAGAAAAAATGCATTTAGCACAGCTGTAAAAATAAACACACTGCACTGGAAGAAGCTCTTCACACCTGTCATCTGTGTCAGATGCAGGTTTAGGGGGCTTGCTGGTTGGGGAGCTGAAGGGGGTCCCTGAGTCTGTGTCTCTGGAGGTGTCCAGGTGACTGCTGTCCAGAGAGATCCGCTTAGAGCTGCCGCCATTAGAGCTGCGGTTCAACTCTGCTATGCTCTGTAGAAAATGGGAGAGATTTGGAAAAGGAGATGAATAAACACAGAACAAAATACACAGCGAGAGTGAAAGGACACGCTGAGGAAGATATCTCACCCTCTTCTTCTTCTGCACCAGTTCTGGAGGAAGGTACTGATGGAGCTGCTTCTTCTTCACATGTGTTGCTTCAATCTTCATCCCATCCTTCAGCATGTTGATGTTGTTGGCTTGTCTGTACACTGTAGAGAACAATGCCATGTTGAGGCTGACTGATGCATGTTTGTCAGACTAATGTCATGTCAGAAATCAGAATCAGAAACAGGTTTATTGCCAGGTATAGTTCACACAATACGAGGAATTTGTTCTGGTGGGTTGGTGCAAAACAACAACAACAGAGTACATAATAAATATATGATACAATAAAGTAGCTACAAATAAACACAACTGTAATAGTGCAAGAATCAAACTAACATTTAAATAAGAACCATAGAACAGTATTGTTATTTACAAAATACTGACGGTGCTGATATGTTATTGACATTTATACAGATATAGAGGAGGCCAGGCGGGCAGTGGGGGACGTGGGCATTGTTCATGAGGCTGGTGGCAGACGGAAAGAAATTGTGTTTGTGGCGTGAGGTCCTGATGGACCGAAGCTTCCTGCCAGAGTGATTGTAAATGAGTTCTTGTAGTTTGACTCACTGAAACTTAAATCCTCAACATTTGACTGATTACTGCCATGTATGTTTGTCAGACTAATGTCATGTAAATGACTTCTTGTAGTTTGACTCACTGAAACCTAAATTCTCAACCTCAGTACATTCATATTTTTCAAATTCTCCTTGCAGTCACGCACCAACAGATGAACTGCCAAAAATTGTCACCCTATCTGAAACCAGTAGTTCCAGTTAACCTGTAACCCCACTAACTTTATTAATCATTGTATACACTGCGCAGCACAGTGTACAGTAATGCTGCCGCCCATTTCGATTATAAGAAATATCTGACTAGACTTAAAAGTGTATTGACTTTTCTACTGTTCCACAGCCAGAGAAAGTCCGGTGATCGGAGAGGACCTACCAGTGTCTGTGAAGGACTGGATGTCATACGTCAGGTCAATGTTCACACTTTCTGCATTTTCCACCTTCTTGAAGATGATCCCAATGAACCACATGGACACAAAGTCGTTCCTGTTGCAGAAACACACAAAGCGTGCAATAGTATGTTGTTAGCGCGACAAAGCTTTACTGTGTCACTGAGCTGTCTGTGTGCGTGGATAAAATCAGACTCACTCATTGCGGTTCTCTTTGGACCCAGGGAAGGACTGGGGGTTGACATGAGCCAGGGTGATGTACTCGTTCCTTTCCAGGTTTCCCACCAGAACGCGGATCTTTGACTCCACCAGACCGATCCTGATGGAAAACATTGGGTTGTCGTCATGGAAGAGGCCGGTAGCAAAAGTGATCTTAGCAGAATAGCAGTACAGTTTGTCATACTGTGTTAATGGTCTGCTAAACACCTGAGCTGCCAGAATATCAGATTTTCATGATTATTATGTCCAGGAGAATTCACGATAACAATACTATCCTGAGATTTGCAGAAATGTTGCCATGCTTTCAGTAAATTGAATGTTTAATTAGTTTCTTGTGTGTTTTGCCTCTTTACAGTTAAAGCACAGGTGTAGGAGGTGGACGGAGAGTCATAACTGTACGCTGTTGTTTCTATGTAGGTGGTCAACCACAAAGTTACTGGCACAGGATTATTTAGGATTTATTTTCTGTATACGGCTGACATTTCAAGGTTTCATTTTTCAAATACACCGGTACACTGTAACAGCCCACTTACACACTAACCGAAGAAATTTCCACGAAAGAGTCAAGCATGGTGTGCCAGTTAGCTTCGTTGAAATGTACCTATGCCATTTGGAGACACTGAAAACTGAAAGTGGCTCAACCTCAGACATCGACTAGACATCCCGACCTTTGACACTCACCATTCTAAGTGGTTTTCTTCTGTGGATGCGCTGGCAGTCAAAACGATGTAATGTCTGCAAAAGAACCCAAAACGTGCCGTCAGCCGCAATGTCGTGTAACTAAAAACATGTGAGTCCTTTTGAAAGACAAAATGCTTGTACAGGGATTGGACACATTCTGGCAATGATGCATTTCTAATAAAAAAACAGACTCGAGACCAGCTCAAGTAGCGTGTGTTAAAAGACTACCGTGAAGGCATAACGAGAAAACAAAATGCAATCAGGGACAAAAATGCGTGGGATCAAATTTAACCCATGGTCTCATCACACGATTAACAAGAGCTTCTCTTCATCCTCCTGACAAATCTAAATCCCAAGTTTAACAATTACAATGAAAGTAACTAATAACAAGAGTTGTCGTAATAATAAAAGGCATTTCAATTCTTTTTGCATCTCTTTTTTTTTCTCCCTTCTTTTCCCCTCCTTCTTAAATACAGTGATGCCGACGGGCATTATTTACAGCTGGACCCCCTCAACCTTATTATTTTTACTAATATTGTGATACTAATCATGAAAAAGCCCGACCTCGCATTGATTTGATAAGTAAAACTTTAGTGCTGCACAGCGGAACATTAACCACCGACAGTCCCACCACTGCTCAGGTGGCTCATGCAGCTCCAGTGGTGGTGCAACAGCAGCAACAACAGAACCTGGAAGAGGACTTCACTGTGGTACTTCGACTGTGGGAGGAACTTTCATAAACAGCATGAGTCAACCAAAGTCGACTGACCACAGTTAGGATGACTCAAATCTGCCCAAACCAAAAAGTGCAAAAAAAAAAAAAAAGAAAAGAAAAAAAGAAGGCTGGTCGGGAAAAAGAGTTGCATCACTTCGTTTCTGCAGTTTGCAGCCTCCAAAAAAACCAGTTCATGTCTCACAAACTGCTAATTTCCAAACAATATTAAAAAGAAATAATTAAAATGTGCCAAGCCGGCATGTTAAAGAACTGTAATATTACAAATGTAAAAGAGGAAAGTATAAAACAATCCTTCATCTGACTAACTCAACACTTACTTGTACTTTTGGAAAAAGTTGGGTGGCTCAAAGAGTTTGGACCATTCTGCTTTGCCCTGAAGAATCTCATCTGTGACGCTGAGACCTGTTCACGGCAACACACACACAGAGGGATAAACACCTGTTAATTTTGATAATTCAGCACTCAAACTGAAACTTCAGCGTGCACGATTAGCATTGCCTTTCAAAGCAGTATGTACGACGCTATTGGAGATTCTAGGAAATTGAACTGCCTTAACACATTGTATGATCCTACAGCGCTGAGTCAGTCTTTACCGTATTTGAACTCTTCGCTCATGATGGTGCGTGTTGACGTGGACACGTTGTACGTGGAGTTCTGCTGGGGATAGGCAGGTGTGATGATGGGCATCAGGTGGTATCTGTCTGATGGATTCACCTGAAGATAAACAGCACAGGGGAGCAAGATTAAGCATTTGCTAACATGTCACTGACCACTGAGTTGAATGAGTCGAGCAAGTTAACCCCCGACACGCCGAAAGGCTCCAAATCTAAAAGTCACACATCCCAGTTCATTTTTGCGTTCTCTTCATGTGCTGTAAGGATGGAGGAATCAAGCAAACAATTTCTGAAATGAGACATGCATCCCTTTAACAAACATGATATGGAGTGATCGGTTACCAAGGCGACACAGCTGGATGTCATACCGGTGGGCTGTAGCGTATTTTTAGCATCTTCCCTTGAAATTTGTAAGAGTACTACGTATTCTATTTATGCATTCACATTCTCCAGCACGCCAAAACATCACCTGAAATAGTATCTATGCACATGGACTTTTAATATCCGCTGAATGACTTCTATCAACACGTGGATAACAAACCTGGTTTTAGACTGTGTGTAGATCAGTCAAACCAGGATATCTTTTCTAAGTACACTGCATATGCTCAGTTAAAAGTCTTTAACACGCTGTGGGCTGGCTTTTCTCTATTGAAAAAGGGGGACTATGCAAAAATGCCCACACATATCACCATTAAATCACTTGTTTTAGCACTCATTTTGTTCATAATTTGATTTAACAGGCTAGACTTTCATTAATGTCTCAGACCTGCCTACATTTTAAAAAATGATACAAAGGTGTCTAAAACAATACTGTCAGCCCAGAGCTCAGCTGTCGTCACTGTGACTGAATGGAAACAAGACCAATAGACAATTAAAATGTATTTATTGCTGAAGGGAAACAACAAACATGTGACAGCAGTTACAGCTGCAAGAATGTTTTTTTTCAATTAAGGCAAAAGAGCAATTAGTTTGGGATAAGTAGATTACTGAACAAAAGAAAAATGTAAAATATATCAAAGTCTTGGCAGAGGAAATAAAATCTTAAAGGATAGCTGCTCATACTCTGAATGTAAGACAAGATGCACAGTAACGCCACTCCGTAGCGCCCCCTGGTGTGTGGATGCTGGCATCTACAGTTTGTTTACATGTGAAACAAAACGCTAACCAACAAAAATCAGACATTTGTCTAAACATTATTAGCACCTTTTCAGCTCCAAGTGTGTGAACCTCAGAGCTTGTAAGTGCTGCTGTTGTTTTGTAGTGGACAAAGTATCTTCCAAACCCTGTTCTGCTTGTGTTACCATAGAATGCACTGTTCACACTAAATAAAGGGCATTTCAAAGAATTTAAAAACTCACTGAACACTTTCCTTTATCACCAACAAATCATTTACCATCAGAGCAACAAGATGAAGTTTTAAATAAAATCTTTTTATTTATTGTTTTTTCAAAAGTGAGTTCATATGCTACATTTTATGCTGATAAACTCAGTCATTTATGCAAATACACTGAATGATTCAAAAGCCTTGTTCAATGTACGCCCTTATCCATAGCTCTGTGATGTTTACATTAACAGTGGTTAAGCATTGAACAGAGGATGGTGAAATCAGATGGAAACAGCTGCCACAGAGAAGGGGTAAAGGGCAAATTACCTTTCAAGACATTTGAGGGCAAAGGAGTGTTTGTAAATATTTACTGCATACATTACTTCTATTAGTCTGATAACACTTCAACCAGATACCAGATCTGTTGCGTCATTCAAGTACTAATGCAGTTTTCTATTGAAGGGGTTTATCTATCTGATAAAAGTCGTCCATGTCAAAAAAAAAAGTCTTCCTTGCTCCAAGCTGCTCTGGGAAGCCTCTTCCGAGCAGAGTTAGGAAGATTGGAGCTCATGATGGAGGACCCGATCAATGTCGTGGTCACATGAGGACAGAAGGATGAAGAGACATGAAATAAGAGAAATGAAACGCTCTCACTGTAGAGCTAAACGTAAACAACTTTTTTACAACTATGTCCAGATAGCGTTTCCTGTGTCTACACAGCAATACACAAACAGAACAGAGGGCAAAACAGCACAGTAAACATGAAGGAATAAACTCTGGTGTCATACTCACTCTAGGATCCCACACGGGTAAATTCAGGTTACTGTCCTCAGGCTGTTTCAATAGCACAGGATTCGGCCACTCCCTACATGAAGGCAAAAACGGACGCAGCATGTAAACACTAAATTGTAAAGATTTTTGTCATGCAAGGCTGTGAAATTCTGCCATCAAGTAGAAGAGGACAATGACAAATGTTTAAATTCGACTGCCTCACCATTTGGAGAAAACCAAGAAGAACTTGTGGACGAGCGTGGCAGCGACAGCGTTGGGGTAGAGCTGGCAGGTCCTGGCCACCAACATGGCCCACGACACTCCACCCAGGAAGCCCAGCATGTTGGAATAGATCCCTCGACCTGAAGTCACAGGATATGTTACAGCAAGGCAGTGACTCTTTAGATGTTAGTGTTATCCAAAAGACAAGCACGGTGTCTGTCAACGATGCACCAAACTGGGTGGACACTGAGAGGGGCATTTTTGATGGTCAATGCTGAAAACAAAGCAGCACATGTGTATAGCCCATGGATGCAACAAAATGCAATCGAAGCAACAAAAAAAAGAAAAGGGGGGCATATAAAAGTGTATCAGGCATGTGAAGAACACTTACGCTTCGCCCACAGTTTGATGGCTCTTAATGTCAGCCTGAAGTTTTCTTTGTTTGGCACCAGATATAAAATTTCATCAGTTACTCGACAGCCTGTAATGAGAAAACATCAGAAATCTCAGACACTGTCAGACAAGTATTACACAATCACAGTTGTGGAAATTCCCACGAAAGAGGTTTATTTTTCAGATGAAAGCAAATCTCTGCCGTCTAGATTCATACACCTGCCACAACTAGCTGCTGCAAACGTGACGGACTATAAACTTGTTCTACTCTCGTGCTTATAGTCACTGTAAGAGCAGCACCAGCAACAACAGCAGTATCAATTACACTGCTGTATCTACATGATCAAATAAAAGCCACAGCGACGTACCGTTAAGGCTGCGAATACACCGAATGTCCAAGTTTCTCAGAATGGAGTCTCCCCTCAGGTCCAAGTTGTCTGGAATGGACTGTAAGGCCAGTCTGGCAAAAAGCAGGTCAATCTGCTCAGACGGAAACAGAAAAAAAAAAAAAAGGCAGCAGAGATGAAACATCTACATCAGCTCAGCTCATCCTAGCATCTTCATTTCGGTACTTAACACAGTCACATTCAGAAAGACTGAGATTAGAAGAGCAATAGATGAGGTAGAACTAAACTTTTTTTGTGTCACAAATAGCTTGATGAGGGTTATTTAATTCCCTTTCCTTGTTCCAATGAAAAGCAAGTTCAAAGCAACATGACACAAAGGGATGATGGGTGGTTGGACATTAAGAACAAAACATTTCATTTAGACTCTTTTTGTGAAATTTCATTAAAGCAAAATACAACATCTAGGCACAGAAGTTCCAAAGTTAAATAGACAATGGAACAGCGGTTTTGCTAACTGTCATCTCATGTCTGTATCTCCTTACCTGATAAGAACCTAAACTACAACGTGGACCACCAATCTGTGTCACTCACTCTCGACCTTGGCCTAAAAAAACAAAAACTGTTTCAACCTGAAACCGTTGCTCGAGTCTGATCCAAATTGAAAACCAAAACCCTTGTTTTCTGCAGAGACGCTGCAGCAAATAGTTCCAGTTAAAGGCAAGTCATGCTTCAAATGTATTCGCACTGATGTTAAGTTTCCCGATATACACCAAAACTATTAGCATACTGAACATGATGCAGACAAAGATGCTTGGGTAACTTAGAAATAGTGTCATGTAGTTCGTCCAGCACAGTGATATGGACTCCATTGGTAACAATACTCTTAGCGCTGCCCACAGCACATGTAGCAGGGTACATATCACAGCTAATCACATGGTGGTACAAAGTCAAGAAGGGTCTTCACAGTACTGCTGGAAAGCTTATCTACAATGACCCCATAATTCCCCCCTCTCCTAAAGAGTACCAGCCTACATATTGATAAAATTAGCATCAGCCCCAAATATCCAGCATCTGAGGAGCTCTAGGTAATAACAATATTTCAAGTTGTGTGCATGTTGTTTTCCAATACTCCTTTATGCATCACTTGGAACTTTTAACTCACCTCAATTCCATCAAATTTGAATTTTATCACTGGTACAAAAGCATCCTCGACAGCCTTGAGGGGAAAAAAAACAAACAAAAGACACAATCAAAAACAAACCTGGAACATGGTGACATGTGACTGTGTTGTTCTGTGTTTAGGGAACAAAACGTAAAGAAGACTTACCCTAAGATCTTTAATCTCTTCGTGCTGTTTCAATTTCTCAAAGAAAGACTGGAAAAAGTCACTTCTCTCTACATGGCGTGGAGCCACACATAAGGCATCGATATCAGCTCCTGTAATAAACAGTCACCGTGACCAGTCTCATCCATATCACTCAGTAGATTTAACGGTTGATTACGTCAATGAAATATTAACAGAGTTGCAGCATTCGAGATTAAAGGGTTCGTGTGATAAAACAGTGAGGATAAACACCTTGGAATGTGAGCTTCATAAACATGTAGAGCAGCTATAACAGGAAACTGGACTGGAGATATAATACATCTCTAAGATCATTCCGATGAAGTGCAAAGACTTCTCATTCTGGTTGTCTAGATACTGCCCCAGTACAAAAGGTCAAGAGTTTAGATGGCTTCACAAAATACAAACAGAAAACAACGCAATAGCTACTAGTGAACCCTGTGAAATAATTCTATTTTTTGGATTATACCTCCTCTCATTAAAACAGTACTTAAATCAGGTTCAGATAGAAGCTCCAAAGATACAACAGTGTCCTCCAAAAGTACCTCATCAACATAGCGACTGGTTGGGCAATATGTTGGTTTCCGACTTAATTTTCATTGGTTGGACAATTGCTTTTGTTACTTTCATAAAGACGATCCCTGGTAGGTCTAACGTATTTAACATTTACATATACTGAGTGTTTATTTAAACTTAACTTCAACACATTGCCAAAAAGTTGAGTCTACTCTTTGAAAACAGCCGAATCCATATTACAGTTTAACAACCAACATGGCCGCTCACCCAAAAACCGGAGACCAACTTGTCTGCATTACATCCCTAAACATGTTTTGTCCTGGAATCACCAGCTCATATAGTTCTATTTTCAGAAATCATGCGAATATGGGCAGGTGCATGCTGGTCTGTTGTTATCATTTTAGCATAAAACAACCAGACTTAAATTATTATATGTGTTACAAATACAAGCTTTTAATGTATATCTGGATTAGCTCATCAAGACATGTCCCTTTGACCAATCCATTTAAGGCAAATTGGAACCGTTAGGGTTGCCTACAGCCCTTATATTTATTTGTGAGTTGCATATAAATTGCATGCAATAAAAACTAAATCCAGATTCTACTTTTGTCCCATTGCCACGTAGCAAAAACATCAAGCATTGTTTGTATATTTTTGGAGGGTGGTTGGAGGGTATGTAGTAAAATAAACAAATGTCACTACACAGGCACGGATCATTACTTTTGCAGACCAACTTTTATTGTGTTGGAATATATACATAAATTATATAATACACACATGTTAATGCACCAGCTGAACAAACCAGATCAGATGTATGTCACAGATTCATGAAACTCTGATGCGAACTGTTCTCTAATTAAAAGGCAGCTTCTCATTTGTCTGTTGGCATTGGAACATTGCTGTGCAATCTGGAACACACAGAGTTTCTGTCGTCTATACCTACAGAGTTAAACGTCATATTTCTAGCTGATGGCACTGCATCAGTTTTAGGAGTTGCATTCCTTCAGTTAACTTTTGGTCATTTCAATAATATAAGCTTTTGAACCAGGAACCTCTGCATTTTAATCACAAAATTCAACAGTACATGCCTGGTATTTCAGTGTGCCAACAATCCACATCTTCTACTATGATAGGAGTCATTGTTCTAAATACGTTTAGTGAAAATCTTTGTACAAAAACTTCTTTCAGGATAAAGTTAGTTGTAAGTTATCTTATTATTAGGTTGTAGTGTGAGTGTGTATTTGTGGCTTCTGTGTCTTCTAAGTATGTACTTTGATTTAGTACTGGCAAATATTCAACTTTATAGGGACTCAAATTGAGATCTGGGACGAAAGAAACTGATAATCATCCCTTGCTGGAAAGAATAAAGTTCTGCAACAGGACTGTGAGATCCTCTCTATGTCCACCACGAGCAAACTGCACAGCTTCAAATGCAGCTTACCGTAAACAGTTTGTCAAACGTTCCCGAAATTAGAGTAAATAAGTCGCTGTGCTATACAAACTGTAATGGAACTGCTTGTTATAAACAAAGCATCCAAACTGATCAGACGATACAGCGTATAGCAACTAATAAATAAAATTACCATCAGAACCCTTAACAGATTTACAGATTAGTTTGGAACATTATAACCTATTTAAATAAACAGAAAACACTGTCCAGTTAAAAAAAAAAAAAGAAAAAGACTAAACTTAAGTTTTTTTTGGAAAACAAAAGCTAAAACACAGGACGTACATGCCTATTGTTAGTGTATAGTTTTACAAATGTTTTACCTTTTGTTCACATTTGTTGTGTTTTTTGTTTAAAACAATGGCAAACATTCCCACTGATGCCTTCAGTGCAGTCAGCCAGTGTTTACGCTGCTTTCTGACTCCAAAACTGGTCTTTTCAAAAACACTCAACAGCAGAGCAATACGACAATGCCAGCCTTGTGCTTTAGTGTAGTCAGGTCAAACTGAGCTTTTCAAAAACAATGATGCGCGCCTGCTTAGAAAGGACTGAGTGCTGTGTGGCGGTAACGTTCTGTTACCTCCATTTTTACAGTGCCAAAATTACTCATAAAGCAGTATGGCTGTTGTCATGGTAGTTTAATGGTACTGTACATTTTGCCAGCTAAAAAAAAAAAAAAAAGTTTTGCCTAATAATGTCAAATATAACAGTAAACACTAACGTACCTTTTGTGTGCACCCCGAGTCGGTATGAACCAAATGTGAATATCTTGCCCCCAACACAGCTAATAGCGGATGGTGGAAGGTTCTATAAAGGAGAGATGCACAGAGTATAAGGTCAGTATGACTTCTTCCATCTTATTGGCATAACAGAAGAAAGCATTCAATGTTTCTAATGTTTCTGATTGGACAGTCGCCTCAGAAGACAACATGTACGTCAAAGTACTACAGCAGAACCTACCTTTAATTCGCTGATCTCTGCGATCCATTCTTTAACAAAGTTATTCAACTTTCCAAGAACTGCAAGTCTGAAAGAAAATACAAGTTTAAGCAGGGGCTGTACTGAAAGTGTCCTTTAAGCATCAAGGTATATTTACCGAGTTACTGCAATGACATGAGAGTGTGTCAGATAAAGAGTCGTACAAGACCGCAGCTTTACAATCAAACGCCAGCTCGGAGAGGCTTGATTTAAATATTTTTCAAGACTAATAGTGAAGTGCTGCTGCATTAAATCACACCTGTTCATGTTTTTGTGTGCAGCCCTTGTAAGTGTTGCTGTGATTGCTGCCATGAAAGGTGCTTAATAGCTGTGTTTGCAAAAACAACATGTCTTCCTCACCTATGGTTCAATTCCTCTTCATCTTCAAACACCCCAAAAGGTTTCATAGCATCACAGAGCTTCTTGGTGTACTGGCGGTCTATTTCTCGTGGTGGTGCAAGGCTAATGGCAGAGGTGATGCCATAGTGTTTCTGAGGCTGCTGCCCACCAGGCATGGTGCTGTGAGGAACACAACATGGGACTGAGGTGCAATACATGAAATGACAGACAGTACACACACAACTAATAGTGATGTACATCTAAGCTCTGTTTTTTTTGGGAAAATGTGAATTTCATTGCAGACACAGGACACAATAGAAAGTAAATATGCCATCAAAGGGATCTAGTCTAAATAATACCCAGATAATAGGAATTACTTCTCTTTCCGCCAGTCATAGTCATACGTGAACTACGGCTCTAAAGACGCGTGAGCCACTGAAACTGATCTTAGAACGAGAAAGGTGCTGCCAGGGCAAAACAGACTTCCATCACAGAGTTCTTAGACTGTGGCAAGCAATATCCAAGTACAGAGAATTTGCAGCAATGGCAACATTTATCACTGATCGTGGGAAACTGACTCACATTCATCTGGGATTATGTTAGGAATTCCCCGCATCCTTGAAACTAAGAAATGCTGCCTCATTCAAAGTGATAGAAATAAATATGTCAGTGAAATAAATACAGATCATCATCAAGTAGTGAAAAAAATAAATCAAACGACAGCTTCATAAAGTTTGTCGTTTGTTTGCCCAGGTTCGCCTTACATCATATTATTACTTACTACTTATTATTTCCAGTGCCTGTGATACTCGTCTAATCACGTATAGTCTGCATATTTTCATGACACTTCAATTTAAAATGATTTACTCTATCAGCAACACACCTTCCCTTTACCACAATAGATGTAGGAGCAAATCATGTTCACTGATCCAGTCTGATTTGTTTTGTTTGACAACTGACTTTTTTTCTCCTGTATTTTAAGAGGCTGCATGCTTAGCTAAAGCCAGATAACATTTAGCATACAGGCAGTGGAGGTCGACCAATGTATTTGCCTTGTATTTTAGTGTCATCTGTTTCCACAAGCAGCAACGCTCACAGTATGTTCGAAATTTAGCTGATTATAGACTACTTTTTATTTCCTGTTAAGCTTTTATACACAATAAGTATCGGCATTAGTATCGAGAATCGCTGCTTCACTTGGTTTGCAAAGTAAATAAGTGGTGCAGTAAATCACTAGACGTTCCTTTTTTTTTTAAACGTTGGGAGCTTTCAACCATGCTTTAAATAACGGACAAGACGCGAATCGTTACCCATGTAGTCAACAGTTTGACATTCATCAACGCCGACCAGCATTTGTTTTGATGTAGTTAGCTGCTTCCTCTGTGCTGTTGCCGCGAATTTCATGTGTAAACAGTCCACTGACACCAACGTGCTTCATTTACATTACTAAAACATCACACATTGACCCCATAGTTGTGAGCAATTCCATCCTGAGAATTAAGTTTAGAAAAACTGCACAAGCGTGTTTAAAATGTGCCTCTGTTCAATCTCAGACGGCGAGCGAACGTTAGCAGACAGGCTACAAACAGGTTGGAGGCGCTAACGAATTAGCTAATTTAGCAAGTTAGCAAACGCTAGCTGCCTGGTACGGAAGACTTGGTTTCATAACGTGCGCTCCGGTTAGACCTCCTAAGAGTTGACATTTACCTAAACTAATCCAACAAGCGAAATGTGCTCACTCCTTTAGACACATTCACACCAGTCACCCATCAGCAGACAAGCGAGCTAGCCAACAAGCGGCTGCAGGCCTTGTTTGGTTGTTGTGACAGTTGGCTAACGTTAGCTTTTAGCCTATTCTTCAGGACTATCGTAAACGCGAAGGCAAATGCTCATAAGTGAAAAATGTGCCACATGCACGACTTACCTTGACATTTCTTTCATGACACTCTAAAAAGCTTGCACTGTTTTTCTGCTGTAAACCCGTAAAAAAAAAAAACTAAGAAAGTCAGCAAGTGGAAATGATAACAGCCTCGACCTGATTACAACAATGGTCACTTTCCAGAGAGCAGTTCAAACCTTCCCACTGACCCGGAATCACTTCTTAACCGATAACGCATCAGTTCGTAATCCCCAAAACAATTTTCATATCTATTTCATCCATTAAACGCACGGAATTTTTGGATGCAGGCGACTCATTACGAGTTTATTTGCTGTTAAGAGTTTTTCTTTAAATCCAAAACTACAAACGTGTTTGTTGGAACAGGGTTCGCGTGCGGCGCGTTGAGCGACCATCACCGGGAGGCACCGCCTCGCTGAGGCCACAAATCACGTGACCCGCGAGGCCTGAAGCTGATGAATCCAACAGCACCGCTAGCTGCTAGCTGCTAACACACCTGACAGACGAGGTGGGTCCGAGGGACTGAAATACGACCTGCAGCCGTGCTGTAGGGAACTATTCTGTTGGGAATGAGCTAACATAAAAGCGAAAATATAATACGTTGCTGAGAAGGTACGACAGTCAAATGTATACACAACTAATAATAGCTGTAAGATTGTTAGCCTGTGATAGCTCATGTGTTTACAGCATGTTTACAACTGTGCAGCTTTGTGCTAAAAGCTTCTTTATTGAGAACCAATTAAATCTTTATTTATTTTTTTGCACTATTACAGTTGACATGAATAAAACTGTACATTTATTATATTTGGTACAGTGTTCAACAAAGTAAATGACTTCAGTTGCAACAGAGAAACACTGTAGTAATGTGTAGACATCGAATTAATATAAAATAATACGTTTTATGAATGCTTTTCTGTATGTACAATGAGAACATTATTATCTTAAAAAGCAAACGTAAGACTTACTCATTTAACATGGCTTATTTATGTATTGGACGTTGTTTTTATATATAAATATTTTTTAAAAAATCTTTTATTACTTTACAATTGTTTTATTATCTTGTTTTTTAAATTATCTTGTTTTTTAATTATGAATTTTGGCTTTAGCCTGCCTCTAGTGTTTCCTAACTGCATTGATTTGTGACAGTATTTACTCAGGATGCTTCATTTCTAACATAATGGTTACAAGAGGAACTGAGAGGAAGGTCAGAGGTCCTGCTTTTATTCTTTCTTTTGTTCTGTTAAACAGTTTGTGTTACATGTCATTTGTATGAAAAGTGTTCTGCGAATAAAGTCTGATCGATAAAACCTGCCTCTTGTCTGCTGTGTTGTGCTTAATGATGCTGTGTGCTCCCGTGTCCACCAGAGAGCACACCATTACAGAGGAGTACGGTGGACTGAAGGCATAAAGCTAAAAAAGTAATTACATGGATGAATGGCGGACGCACCAAAGTACCATTTTAAAGCCAGTAATTTAAAGTAATGTCTGTTTGTTGGGGCTGATGCTGATGTAAACAATGGTTAAGCTTAACAAACATCATGCTACTTGGGTATGTGGGTGGAGGATGGGCTCAGTTTTAAAGTAAATATTAAGCATCTGATATAATACTGAAAGTTGGCTGGGTTTTAATTATTGAAATCAGCCTTGCCTTAATTTAGCTTTCAGGAAAATGCTTGTATGGCAACACTCTTGACTTTTTAGACTACGAGGAGATTATTTACGTGTGCTGCTGCCTCTACACCCTGTTTTCTAGATTCTTTGTATTTAACTCATTGTAAAGAATACATCAGTTTATCCCTTATGATCGTTTTTTTTTTTCCACCTGCCTTAGCCCTAAGGAGACAGTAGCATTGTCTTATCTTTAGATCTAAAGCAACACTAGATGAACTCATGTACTCCTGTGTACTTACCCGTAATCTTCCTTCACTTACCAACAACTGATTTCTGCTTGTCTAAATGACTGCTCTGCACCATGGCCAGGATTTGCTCTGCAGAGGGGCCTTCTCCTGTTTTATTTCCCTGAAATAACCCTCAGAACACTCTGTTAACATTTAAGTTTATTTGTCCCATTTAATTTTTGTAAATCAACTGTGCTTGATACAGATAGTGCTGTTTTTCTCTTATTATTCTTCATCATTTTCTCTATAATTAGACTCATGAAATGCATCTAATTTGCTCACATTTTCAAAGCGGACCAAAATATCGCCTGAAATTTCATTACTGAAACAATACCAATATGTTATTTTGTTACTGATCCTTGAAATAAATTCTGATTGGATGTTCTGGTGAAGCTTTCACTGTCAGTTTGGTGCATTTGGAGGTGCAGTTTTCTCTCAGGTCACAGCTATAGAGCTTTTATGTTGACTCACTGTGTTAAATAGCTCCATGTTGTGGACAGTTCAAATCATTACATCTGGTGTGAACTCTCAAACTCTTTCTATCACCAGCTTTAGGTGACCTCAGATGATCAGCAGCTGCTTACGTTCCTTGTCAAGAAAGTCACTACTTCTTTTTTTGTCCAGCAGATGTGATCCTGCAAAGTTTGCATAGTTTCCTGTTTTGCAATTTCACTTCACCTTTTTGTTGAGCACTGGCCTCTGTTTTCTGAATAATTGTGAACAGCAGTGCACAACTACCATATCATCATAACTGTAAAGTCTATTTTGTTTAAGGTGTGAATGTCAGGCAGTCTAAATCTGATATTTTGTTTTAACTGATCAGTGTATTCAGTGTAGTCTTTTCAAAACCACATGTCTCAACAAAACCTTGATATGTTTCATGAATTTACATTAAATTTTATTGTTATTGCACAGAGTACTAAGACAATGAAATGCAGTTTATCTAACCAGTAGTGCAATGGCCGTAAAGTACATTATATGTGCTATGACACAGTGTAATCAGAATAAACAGTATAGAGAGGGTGGTATAAAAACACTCATATATAAATGTATAGATGTGGACACAATATTGAATAAATAATGCAAATGTACAGGTGGGGCTCAATAGTGGTATAACCAGTATAAATAGTTTGGATCGTGTAAACCAGGGGTGTCGAACTCCGGTCCTCGAGGGCCACAGTCCTGCATGTTTCCCTCTTCCAACACACCTGATTCAAATGATCAGGATCGTTATCAGGCTTCTGCAGAGCTTGATGATGATCATTTGAATCAGGTGTGTTGGAAGAGAGAAACATCTAAAACATGCAGGATTATGGCCCTCGAGGACCGGAGTTCGACACCCCTGGTGTAAACTGTATGAGCAGTAGAAACCGTGTAAGCAGTAGTAATGCTGAGATATATGAAGTATATATTAATACAAAACAAGGCACATTGTAGGCTCAGGAAAAACTGATTTCATTTCAACTTCGTGTTACGCAGGACTTGAGGTGGTTATGTCAGCGAAAGCAACCTTTCACCTGTCGAGGAATCAGCTCCTCCCTCATTGGCTTCCGCCCACTTCTACATTTTGGACTTTAAGTGCCATGATGTTCAAAACAGTCACAACTACAGACGGAGAGGTCAGTCCCAGAGCTTTACCACTGCAACACAACGCCAACCAGCTTACAAAATGAGCAACCACTCTCTTCAAGTGCATGTGGAAAACTGGATTAAAGAAAACCAAGATGCTTTCCTGCCACCAGTGTGCAACAAGCTCATGTGAGTAACATGCTTTGCTTTCACATTTGTCACACTCTTACACATTGTGTTTAGCAATCTGTAATTTATTTAACAGTATTACAGTTACTCAGATTGACAATTCTGTTTTGGTGCACACGTAAATGAATAACTATAGTTACAGTTTGAGGACATGCAGTCACTACCCGATTGTCTGTAATTCCTCTTTCTCTCAGGCACTTTTCCCAGCTGCTTATCATGTTTGTTGGAGGTCCTAATACCAGGAAGGATTATCATATAGAGGAGGGAGAGGAGGTGAGAGAGAAGCACTGATTTACCCTGCCTTAATTCTGCCACACACATGCACCTAATGAAACCAGGATAAACTTTAATCTGATTATTTCTTGCAAACTTGAAGAATGAGAATAAAATGTCGCCTACAGTTCTTGCTTTTTCACACTCCCTACTCTCAGTTCCTCACATTGCTGTCTCACCACCATCAAGGACAAATTCTACCAGTGTTGCAATTCTTGGTCAAATGATTTTGGCCACCTGCCGCTATTAGTTTTTTTTAGGGGTACTTTGTGTGTTTGACTGTCAGGATCTTTGAAGTATCAAAGTTCAGAGTGTCAGCTGACAGCCACATGCAACAAGCGTTAGTCAGTAGTGGGCCTTAATATTTCTAAAAGTGTGCTCTATATTGTTTAAAAAAAAAAACAGTAAGTTGGACACTCCCACATTTTTTTGTTTTATAAGCGTTGTGCTTTG